CTTTATAAATCAAAAGGAGAGTGCGATTATACTAGAGCCCACATTTTGAACTTTATATCTTCTCATTATTATTCCTTAATCCTTAGCCCCGCAATATAATTTAACCAGGACGCCCACTAATTTTTATTTATTATCAGTTTATTGTAGATGTTCTTGCCCATGGCCGACTCCACTATCAGAAGCGATTACGATCAAAATTGAGCATAGATAGTTTTTGGCATTGAAATAAATAAGGGATTGATGCAGTGTGTAGTAGTAGGAAATGGAACATAAATTGGGGGTAACAGCGTGGTCTTCTAGAATAAATCGGTTGAATTTAGCAATGAATATACAAAGAATGAAGGATCTCGTTAATTATAGCAGCTGCGATACATACAAAGGTGTAGAAACTCAATTACAATCACAAAGGATGCATTAAAAGGTATTCAATTAAAATCTTTCTACAAGAGGCTAAGTTGTAAATACGAGGTCAAACCAATAAATTGCGAGAAATAAAGCAGCTGACCTTTCTGACGAGATCAGCCAGAACATATGCATCCATAGAGCTGATCTGGCTCTCAGTGCAATCAAGGTCGACATTCATCTGGACGCCATTAATGTAGCTAGAGGACCTTGGGGCCTTAGGTTTCGGTACTCGTCTAAGAACAACAGATTCCGATTGGCTCCTCATTTCATCATTGGCAGCGACCACAGCGTCGATCCCGGTCTCGGTGACAAGCGCACCACCATGCACAGATTCACTAAGGCTTGGGGTCACACAGAGTGCATCAACAGTAGACGAAGAGGCTGCTGCTAATTCTTGTGACAAAAACGGCAAACAGGTTTGAGGCAAATGGCTCATAGAGACTTCAGGCAGCCCAGGAACTTTGTTCAGAGTGACAGGCGAGCATAAGAGGTCGTCTTCCAGCAAACCTTCAAGCGAGTGACACAAAGGCCCGATCAGCGGTCCTCGACGAGCCACCACCAATGGAAATTGTGACTTTAATAGGGGTGCAGTTTGTAAATTAACTTTAATGACTGATTAAAAAGGTACTATTGCGTATTGCGATTGCGAAGAATATGACGAATAAGATGCTCGAGTTGTAAGATGGCTTGGGGAATAACGGCTTGCAAGCCCTAAATTAAGTACCTTCCGAAAGTCTTCCTCGCTAGCAGAACTGTAAGCAGGCAAGAAGTGCCGCTACCTATAATATAAGCGGATGCAGCTCTTCTTGCTTTTAGGTATATCACACCGTGGTAACCAACTCTTCGAATTGGAAACATACAACTAAGAAACGAGCAGCAGTATATTAGCCCAAGCAATTTACGCCTCACATAATTCGCACCCATCTGAGGTGTAGACCAGTATTCACATAGCTCGCTTAAATGCATCGATAAATCCTGCTTTTGCTAAGGCGTAAGACTGGAATAAGTGAAACATTTAAAAATCGAATAGTCAGTTTCGGTTGAGAAAATATTAACTGTCATCCTCACAATTGGCGTGAAGGTTTGGCCACAGTTTTGGCATGTGCAAAGGCTTTAACAGAGAAGTCTTGTGCTTTACGAAACTTCGCATGTTGGTAAACGGCTTAAGAAAATAAAATGGACAATTAAAACTAGACGCAAACCCTTACCTCCGTTAGCCAGGCATCTTAATTAGTGATAGCCTATCTGAGCAATAATGGTTGTCTTTAGCGGTTTTTTACGTCTAAACGATGCAGCTAAACTCTACGTCATTCCAGGATGATTTGTCAATAACTGGAAGGAAATACTCCTATTTTCTTAGAAAAATATTTCAGCCGCGGTTATAGTCATGAGTAATAAGTTTAAAATAACTGAGCTGGAAATGCCTTATCCGATTATCTGCTAAGTAACAAGTCTTAAAACAGGTTTTCTACAAGTCACACGTTAAGTTTCAAATAGAACATTCAAAAGCTGGAGGAAAGATTTCATGATAGATACTAAACCTATTTAAGCTAATTTGTATGAATAAAAAAAAACTAATGAAAAAGCTGAGAAAATTGTTAGTATTTTGGCGGTCGCAACCAGAGGGGATTGGATTGAATACTATTCACAACGGAATGCTACCAAAACGGAATACCAAATTATCCTCAACAAATCAGAGACAAGGCCTGATATAGTTATTGAATCGAAAAGGGCTTTATTAAGCAAAATGAACGGTGTTTTTCTCTACTGAGTATATAGTCAGTGATGCAGGATATAGACCGCACCTTCTTGGCTGTTTCAATTATATGTAAATACTCCTGCAATTGTTATGTAGTGATCCATAACTAAGAAAATAATGGATCAGAATTTAGCTCTAGAACGTAGTTGCATAGAAGTGGATAGATTGAACGGACTATTTCGGAATTTCTAATTATAGTGTATGGACATTTAAATGTTTTTATAATAGTCACAAGGTTATGAGCTCAATGGAACATGTCACATAGACATAGAACATAAGTACATTAATAATGACAAAGAACTAATTCCAAGAAACCTACCGAGACCGGCAAATATTTTCATTGTAAACATTATTATCTCATTTAAATCCACCTTCACTCCATAAGAGTTTGTAAAATTGAATCTGTGGAACGTTCATTAATGGTACGCGGTTGAAAAGATGTCCATAAAAAATTTGGTGTATAATTCTTACTCGAAGATATAAAGACCAAGATAGTGCTGCCCTTGGTATGGTAGCAGCCTACTTTCGATTTACCGAAATGGAATGGCCTCGTCTCCACAGCTTGGTTTTGTTGTCAGGGCGACTTAGTTAAACGTACCTTGTCCGAAGTTCTTTGTCATAGTAATTATCATAATTTCCAGCATCAGACCGTGGACTTGGTATATCATTGTCTCTTTGACGAGTTGTAGTTTGATGTAGAGAATGGAAAGACTCACTGATGATGCCGACTACGATGCCAGTTAAATGTCTGAGAATGCACTAAGTCCACGGTTTAATACAGGGAATTATGATAACTACTATGACAGAGGACTTCGGACAAGGTGCATTCAACTAAGTCGCGCTGAAAACAAGACCAAGCTACGAAAATGAGGCCAACCCATTTATCTAATTCTCACTGTTTTTCTATTTACTATTATCTAAAATGAGGCTTGTTTTCATAGATAACTTAGATTAATTTTATGGGCCAAAGAATAATGAGTTTTCCCAAAGTGTATTGTTTCGAGGTTTTACTTTAATGAATATGTGAAATGTAAGAAGTACGGCTAATATATTTGTACTTGTGGGATTTCTTATATAGGCTAAAGAAACTATATTTAGACCCCATTTAATGCACTTTCTGCCTCGAGAAGAAGAGAGCAAGCAACGTCCCTTATTTCAACTTGGACAAAAGGTAGTCGAAAATTCGCCCTACTTCTTTGTTTAGCTAAAAGGTCATAATTACTTCCGGCAAAAAATCTGGGACAAGAAAGTAAATGAGATTAGCTGTTTTATATACCGCTTCGTCGTTGTTGTAGCCCAAGGTGACGCTGTCTGAGGAAACGGAATGGTGAACTTCATTATCGCGGTCAAGAGAGATCACACGGCTCTTACGATGCATAACCAATTGAGCATTCAGTTGAGGCGACTCAGAGCCAACTAAGTTTCTGGGTTGGCGTAGTCGGGTGACCGGAGAGATGGGAAGCGGGCAAACTCGTTCATTTAAAGTGTCTTTCTGTGGTAAAGAAGAATATATTGAGCTATGGATAAACGGACTGATGTGTCGCGAAGAGTCACTGAGTCCATCAGACTCCAATCTCCTAGCTAATCAGGAATAATGAGAAAGTAAGATTGAGGCATGATAGGATATTATAAAGGTTATGCAAGCGCACAGATAGCAATCACTCTTTAACTAGTTCGGTAATAAACATTAGTAATTAGCTGCGAACTCGTCATTACCATAAAGTGGATTACCTGGGAATCCTTGCTTGTGAATGCGAAAATGCATTCTAATGAACCACTGAGCGAAATTCAAAACTTGTGAAAATAGTTTAGAGATATTTTATATAGTGTATTTACTGGATATGCGCAATACAAGGAATTTCGCAGAAGTATTCATCTGAAGAATTAATAATATAAAACCTACAAAGGAACATATTATATGAAGGGTAAATGGAGACCTAGTTTTACGTAGTAGTTACTAAAGAAATTTGGAAAACGTACACCGAAAGGTATTATATTTTCAACTTATTTAAGATACTTAGCATTGCATGGAGTGAATGGAAAACGATAGCATGGATTTTATTTTGGCTGCAGTCTCCTTTCGCCATTTTCAAGTAGCTTGACCTAATTTGCGCAAATTGGCCTTATTTTTGATAAATTTGATAAAGGAACCCTATCCGGAACCCCCTGCCATAATAGTTGCGATAATGTGTGGACTTAACACATTCAAGCGAAGCTAAAACTCATTAGAGATGATTGAAGTAAAACCCTCATATCTTCGTATTTCACAACTTCACTGTCACAAATTTATACTTGCTTGGATCGTATATATGACCAGCTTACCTAGCAACTGTATACACTTTTTCTAAAGTTTCTTAAGAGTGTGCCACTTCAAGATGATCCAATAAAGCGTAATCCCCTTTACCTGTAGTTTAGATTACCGTCCACAGGGCTTTTAGACAATAATCGAAGCCTCTATCTAACCCTCCATTTCAGGCAACTTGATAGCTATTTACTGTTGCAGCTGAAAATCCCCGCCTTATCAAATTGGCTGTCTGTAATCCAATGATCCTACTCAGCATTTTCGTTATCGATGATTTATTCACACAGCTTGTTCCGAAGATATGATACAACCTACATGATAGCCTTAATGAGCATCGTAATTCTCACGTTTGGTACAATTTCCAAGTTTCCTAGGCTTCAGAAACCCAATTAACTGGGTATTCTTTTTCCCACATCCGCCTCATTCACTCATATTCCATGGTACTCCACTGTCTGGCTCCATTTGGGATTACTACTGTGGACACCTAAAGCTTCAGAATCAACAAATACACACCCCTTACTTTCTCACACCATCGGTCTCATCTAAGCCTGGATGATGATGATATAAAAATCCTTCTGAAAACCTCAAAGGTACAAACAATATTACCGTAAATCTAAGGGCGGTAAAATAAGGCTTGGTTCAAAAACATCAATGAATACTTTTTGCAGTAGAAATAGGCATGTTTAAGCCCAGTCATAGCAGATATCAAGAGATATTTAAAATAAAATAGCAAGAAAGGAGTGTTTCTTCAGATCAACAAAAGGAAGAAGCAAATCCTAAATCATGATAAATGCTCTGATGACCAAAACTGAATTAGCCTCAAAGTTCTCACCAACCTCCCCAGTTACCACACCGTTGGGCAGGGTTAGACTGATCCGATGCTTCTGCTTATTCAAAGAGCCTGTAGCTAAAACTTTAGCCTGTTGACTAGACTCCCTTCGACTAGAGAGAGATTGGGCCCTTTGCCCCACACTCGCAACCCTGGCAGTACTTCGCGAACGTTCCTGTCCTGACTCAGAAGCTTCTTTAGATTTGGTAATAGGCGTTGATATAGGTGACAAAGAATTCGATTTTCCCACTTCAGGAGCTTCTATTGCAACCGTCCCCATTGTGTGAACCTCAGCTTCGAGGCCGGCGGTAGTTTGGGCAACACTGCGCCGAAGCCAGCCCAAAAGGCCACGCATAGGAGGAGACGTTTGAGGGATGGCAGAGGATGGAGGAGGAACTTGAATAACCTCGTCCTCGTTGATGATACGACTCTGCCGGCGTGAAGTAGGTGAGGAAATCGGCAGACGCGACAGACAATCAGCTTGCGATGTACTACTAAATTGGGCAGTTAAGCAAGATGAAGGGGCTTCCGTCATAGAGGCGCGATACCCTGAAGCCAGTATAAAGGCAAGGTAACGAGATAATAATGAGAATAAGAATAAACCAAGATATGAAGACAAAGATGGTGTGATCTTTTGCGTGGTCGAAGCTCCTTTCGTTGTATATAAGTTGCTTGACCATGCTTCGCAACTTGGCCATATTGGTAGGAAGACTTAGAG